TTTTTTTTGCCTTTCATTTTATTTATGTGATATAGTTGTGGGCATTGTGTTCCTGTAAAAATCAAATGATTTGGCTTCCTCTATAAACTGAATAACTTCCTCCTTATAACTTACCAGATGATACCTGCCTGTAAAAAAGTGTAAATGTTGTAACAATAGGATGTGGGCAGTTACCGGGCCATTGTATTTAAGTTGTTTAGAGTTTTTTGTGCATTGCTATACAGTTGCTAAAATGTGAATTTTTCTGGGGTGTTTTGGATTGTATCTTAAGCTGAATATTTTCCCACCTTTTCATTTTAAAACTGGGGATCATTAATCTGCAAGCTGCAACAAATATCAGTAAAACAACAAAACATTGACATTCACATTTTCTTAAAAAAAAAAAATGTTTCCCACGCAAAGACTGCTTCCATCATTTTAAGATGTTGTTACGGATGGAATCAGGTAGTCATCAGGGACAAAGTGACAGGCTTAATGAAGGGCTTCAACAGTGACACAGATGGTGAAATCCTGTATTATGGAGGAAGGTCAAGCCTGTAGGTGACTTCGGTCAGCTGCCTCTGCACGATGAAAGGACGGATGTATCGAGGACTCAACTTACGACAGGGCAGGCAGAGGCAGATGTCCCTGGTTGAAAGCCACACCTTTTGTCCAGGCTAGTACTGCTGAGGTTCAACACGACGATAATCCGCTTGGTCTAGTGCCTCCGCACTGCCTGGTGGAGGTGCAAGTGAGCCGAGTCCCATACCCTCTCACTCTGATGGAACCAGTAATCGACAGCTGGAACCTCAGAGGGCTCACCCGACCAAGGGAAGAGTGGAGGTTGATAACCCAGGACACACTGACAGAGGGTGAGCCCAGTGGTGGATTTACGAAAGGAATTCTGGGTGTACCCTGCCCAGGGAAGGAACCGGTTCCAGCTGTCCTGGTATGGGTGGCAATAGGTTGTAAGATGTCATCCGGTCTCCTGGATCTTCCGCTCAGTCTGTCCGTTTGTTTGAGCTGACAGTAACCGCGAAGAGTCTGAAGAAGCCTTGCCAAACCCTTGAAATGAACTGTGGACCTCTGTACGACACTATGTCCTCACGGATGCCGAAGTTTCGAAACGCATGATAGAAGAGGGCCTCTGCGGCCTCAAACACAGTTGGAAGTCCAGGGAATGGGATCAGCTTGCAAGCCTTCGAAAAGCTATCCACAATGAAGCGGACACAAGGTTACTGGATCTGGGAAAGTCCGTCATGACATCAACTCCAAGGTGGGACCACGGTCGTTGTGGGATAGGAAGTGGCACGAGCTTGCCCTCCAGGAGTCTTCTGGGGGTGTTGGTGAAGCATCCCCGAACGTACCTGTAAACATCACGTGAGGATAGGTTCCGGTAATGAATCTTTGGTTGAAGCATGATGAACCGTTGAAGATCCTTCACAGCAGGGGGCAGGGGCCAGTTCCGGATAGTTTCCACCTTCATCTGATCCATCTGCACTCCCTGTTGGTCAATGATATAGCCCAGAAATTGCACAGTGGTGGTGTGAAACTCACATTTCTCCAGTTTCAGGTACAGTTTATGAGCTCTCAGTTTCTCAAAAACTAGAGTGACATGGCGCTGATACTCAGCAAGAGATGACTACTAGATGAGAATATCGTCGATATAGAAAACCACAAATTTGTTGAGATACTCTCGAAGTCGTCATTCATGTAACCCTGGAAGACAGCAGGGGTGTTGGACAGTCCGAAGGGCACGACTCGATACTCATAGTGACCTGAGGGCCGAATGCCTTGACGAATGCCGTCTTCCATTCATCACCTCGTCGAGTGTGAATCAAGAACTTAGAAAATATGCGGGCTCAAAGCAGCTTCCAGGTAGGTAACAGGTAGGTAGGTAGGTAGCAAGCGTGATAGTCTGTAGTGTCATGTAGAGACGAGACCAGACAATGAGTGTGTGAAGAGGAGTTGAATATATAGGGAGGTGAGCTGATGAGGGTGAGGGTGATTAAAACTCAGGGGACTGTGAACAAGTGGCAGGAGTGAGTGAAGCAGGTGGTATCCTGACAGATGTAGTGTGCTACATTCACTGTCTTGCTATGTGGGTTCTAAGGTCTTCTAAGTGTTTTTTAACATGTTGCTGTAAGGTTGATAAGGTGTGTTGGGTGGTTGCTAGGCAATTGCTTACCAGCCCAAGTCAAAAAAAGCCCAACCCTGTAGTATTTTTTTAAATAATCTGAAATGGATCAGGAAACCTAAATGTAAAATCATTTGTGCTGCTATTTATTTTTGTGGAAACCATTTTGGACAATTGAATGCATTCTTACTAAATAAAGATATTATTAAAAAATAAAAAAAAAATATTCTACAGACCCCAAACTTTTTTTGAACTGATGTAAAAAAGTTAAAATCCCAAATCTATAATCCTAAACATGAGTGAAAAGATGATGTTTTAAACATGTGTTGCTCTACATGACCATTAAAGGGTTAGTTTTCACCCAAAAATGAAAATACTCGCCCTCATGACGTTCCAAACCCGTAAAACTTTTGTTCATCTTCAGAAGAAAATGAAGATTTTAGTGAAATCTGCAAGCTTTCTGTCCCTTCAATGACAGCATGCAACTATCACTTCCAAGCCTCAGAAAGGTGGTAGAGACATCATTAAAGTAACCCATGTGAATCCAGTGGTTTAACCCCAATTTTATAAAGCAACTCGAGTGCTAAAAATTTTCCCATACCTGCGAGGAACGACGCGAGAGCATTGCGTGAACGTGCATCGGAGATTAAAATTTTGTAAAATAAAGAGGAATTTGTTTTTTAATTAACTTCATTTGTGCCGTAGATGATGAAGTTCTTACTTGTTTGGAACGACATGAGGGTGAGTATTTAATGAAGCATTTTTATTTTTGGGTGAACTATCCCTTTAAACTGCCTCCTTAACACATTCAAAGCGGCTACCCTCAACATAATCCAAAACTCCCTAGACAAAGCAGGTAAAAGCACTGAACAGCATCTAGTTACCATACTCAGTTAAACATCAATACAAGGATATCCTGCATGGGTTCTTGGGACAATGTAACAACATTTCTTCCAGAAATCCTCTAAATAAAAATGATTACTGCTACACAAGCAAACTTTCCAGAGCTTTTCATATTTTTAAGAAATGACGTCAACCTGTTGCATCTCTAGAGGTGATATTCAAGTTGGCCTGCAGAAAAAAAACATTTGCCTTTATTCCATCATTTCACTATCAACATGGCCACCTTGATGAGTCTGTGTTTGCTCTTAATTTACATGACAGAGAGGGGACGAGGCTCACGTCACTCATGAGGCTTCAGCCACCATTATCTACAATGGAACATCTTGCACTTGTTAGACATGGATAGCACAAATAAAGTCTGAAAGTGATGAACGCCGGACTGAAACAAATGGAGTCTAACTGCTCAAAGCACAATGTTATCTAAGAACCCAAAAGCCAAAAGAATTGTGGCAACTCACATTATTCTATTTTATATTCTTTAATGGCATACTTTGATTGCTGATGCAATATTTAAAATAGTTTAAAAATGTCATGCATTATCTTTTCAGGACCCCACATCGTGTGTGATCTGTCTGCAGCTTTCATCATTACAAGAAATACTGTATACTTCTATGGTTAAACAGCACATTACATGTACACCTTATCTATTGACTTACCTCTTATGAACTCTTGAGTTGCACTGGAGAGCAGAGAGTGAAACAACAAGGAGAAGGTAAAAAAGGATCTGTGTGACTTTGTCAAGGCCTCACCAGACAAGTGAAGTGGGACTGCGGCTCTTGGTTGCCTTGACGACGGATGCTTTTTCAAGCAAATCAGCCAATGAAATGCGCGCTGATCGTCATACAAAAGGCCATGTGACTATCTTAGCTGCCTCTCAGCAGGAGGAGACAAGAAACACGGGGAAAAATGAAGTGAATGACAGCACTATCTATTTCTTTATAGTATTTTAAGTCTGTTTTTATGATCACTGCGGTCCCATAACTAAGGTAGATGTTTGAAATGAATTTGATGTAAAATTGGGATTGGAAGTGTGTGTGCCAAAGAGTAGGCTACGGAGATGAAAGATTGCCACCTAGTGGGAACTTGTGAAAATTACAGTGGTGGACCCCTAGCTTGAAAATTGATTTAATTTTGAAATAATAAAACAGTTACTAATTAAACCCTGAGAAATGTTTGTCGTAATTAAGTATGAAATGAAAAAACAAAACAAAAAACAAAACAACCATACCTGAAAAAGACAGTAGCGACACATAATTTCGCCCGCTTATCATTGTTTTGTTTTTTAAATCTATTTTTTTATTATTTATTTTTTTTTAGAGAGAGAGAGAGAGAGAATTATTAACTATTTCTCAAAGGACTAGGTAATGTTTGGGATCTGTTCACTGTATGTCACTCAGACTCACAAAACTCATGATGAAAAAAGGAAAGATATCAGTTTTTAAAATAATAATAAAAAAAACATTAAAAAACAATACATTATTGACATTGTTCTGTAACAATAAAGAAAATAATATAAGATTTTTTTTAAATGTTGAGACAAGTGTTAATAATTTGAAATTTCCTTCTCAGTGATTAAAAAAACTATTTTTAAGAAAGAAACTGATATTGTAATGCTATGGACATTGTTCTGTAGTAGCATAATAATATACAAGAAAGAATCAAAGAAAGAAAAACAAGTGATCAAGAGTTTGTCATCTGAAATTTCTCTCTATTTGTCAGTGATTTTATGTTAATGAAACGCTATGAGGATTGATCTGCAATGAAAAATAGTTCAAAAATCAAAGAAAGAAAGAGAGAAATAAAGAAACGATGTAGTTTTTTTTTTTTTTTAAGAAACGATGTAGTGTTTGCAACCTTAAAAGACGGCCCACCTGTAATGGGTTGAGAGAGTGTGTGTTGTGTATTGAAACACACAGCCAGCCTGGGTTTGGGCGTGTGCTGTGCTTCTAACTCCCTCTTCTTCTTCTTCTTCTTCTTCCCCCTACACATAGCACTCACACACACACACACACACACACACACACACACTGCTCGCATCAAGTCGACCCACACCGGCAGCTCGTTGTTCGATGTTTGTGTTGCTCGCATCTGCTCCAGCGAATCTGTCGCGCGCGAGAAGAAGAACAAGAATAACACGAGCTGTCTAATGACGAAAATAGTTGAGAGCAACGGAGCATTGAGGGGAGCAGCGGGAAGGATGTCGACATATTATTGACTTGTGCTGAGTGTCGTCGAGTCGAGCGAACAGCGCCGTGGATTTCGTAAGTACTACTAGTCCAGATGCTGTCTTTCTATGCTGTGTGTCGTGAAGGATCCTGTAGACGCTGGACGGAATTATATACTTTTTTGGCATCAAGGCGTAAATCATTTCACCAGCATCTCGAAACTGAGGAACTAGCCTACTACTGTAGTAGTGAACACGGAAAACGAAACAAATGCGTCAAATCAGTGCGCGCGCCTGAATTCCATTCATCTCTATAGTTCGTTACATTGTAGCGAGCTGTGCAACTATTCATATAGGCTATACAGCGGTGGTGTTGCGTACCTACTATGGAAATAATGGTCGATGCAGGAGAAATAAGTTTATTTACACCAAGAGAGCAATACACGTTTTATAAAGAATCGTTTTTTTTTACCCTATTCTAGTCTTTACGTTTTTGAAACTTATTATGCCATCACATAGATTGGTTGCCATTGTGTAGGGCTAGCAGAGATTCACTGAAATGACTATACGTTGTTTACATTGCGCATCGTCTGAAAAGTCAATAAAGGTGATGTCATTGCATTTCAGCGGTAATGGGAAAATAAAAGGGATTTATTACACATGCATAGAATGCCTATACTAAACACACACACACACACACACACACACACACACACACACACACACACACACACACACACACACTATAATATATATATATATATATATATATATATATATATATATATATACACACACACACACACACACACACAAACACACACACTAATATATCCCACACTATAATACACACATCCTACACTAATATATATATATATATATATATATATAGTAACACTCTACAATAAGGTTCATTTACTAAACATTAGTTAATGTATTAATTAACATGAACTAACCATGAGCAATACATTTTACATTTGTTACTGTTTTTGTTAATCTTTTTTAACGTTAGTTAAAGGTGCAATACCTAAGATTTTTGCATTAAAATATCCCAAAATCACAAGGCCAGTGTTATATATTTAGTAAAGATGATAACTCACAATATTCCAAATGTTTCAAACAATGTTTAAATCGCGAGAAAATTGAGATTTTAACCAAGGAAACGGCACGTGTCAGCAGGGGTGAGCTGGGAGTCGCGAGTAAATCGCGTCATATCCGCTTACCTCGGTTTCCGCTCTTACTACGTGTAGTCCTGGACAAATGCGGTAGTTGTAGTTGTGCGTTAGCGCCTATCAAACGGCAGCTTGTTTCGCGCATTTGTTATGGAATGGAGCACATATATTCTTTTCATTTATTCTCGGAATGTGAACTGTTGGCTGTAAAGGGGGTCGCACACCGGACGAGAAGCGCCGCGTCACGTTTAGGACAACTCCAGTAACGTTATCGAACACCGGACGCGCACTTTCTCATCAGTGTATGGCCAGCAATATTGTTATGTTTAATGACAGAAAATGAAGATAATGTCTGTTCTATGTTATTGTACTGTACAATTAAATACAATCGTTGCTGAGTCTGCATTCTGAAAACTTTACCTCAGAGCATCCGTTCACAGAATGAATTGAGAATCTCACGTGAAAAATCTAATAATAATCAGTAATTGTCATTCAAGCAGCTGATTTCTGTAAATGACTGCAAAACTAAATGCATAGATATTGCAGCATAGGGCAAAGTCAGGATCCATTAGCAACGGTTTGAGGCAAAAATAATTACAATTTTATATAAAACTATGTAAATGGCGCTCTGTGGCGCAGCAGGGTTTTGAACACGGTCCTGAAACGTTGCTGGGCGCCGCGGACAGACGCCGAATGGCGCCGCCGGTATGTGTACACTTATAGATAATAATGTGTTCGAATAATTATGTGGTGCAACGCGGCGCTGCAGCTTCTCGTCCGGTGTGCGACCCCCTTAACGTTAATTTTGTGAAACTGTAGCTGTGGTTGAATACTTACACGACATGAAAAGATGTGTCAAATGTACATTGCAGACATCCCAAGTCTCCCGGATCTCCCGCATATTGATAGCGTTTCCCTGATGCCCGCAAATTAGTTCAAATCTCCCGGGATATAATGTTAGAGCGAGACATACTGCGCGCATAACATACAGCGCGCTGCGCGTGCACTGTACAGAGGGAGAGACTTTGCGTTTGTGCCTCGCGAACGCGAAAGTTAGCCTTCCCTCCCACCCCCACAATCTTGTTATCGAAATATACCTCCCGGAAATGAATTCTTGCAGGTTGGGATAACTGACATTAAATTGATTTTTTATTTTTATAAAGTTACCAAGGAGAGCCAACCACGTCAACTCCTTGCGAGAGACCTGCCCCTTCAAACCCTCTCAACCATAGCTTCGTCCAGTGACTCGTACAGTAACATCTGTGATAACTAATTTACTTTTAAACCTGACTTTTCTTGCACGGTTATTTCAGTTTAATGAAATACAAGCATGTCATTAAACGCAACGTTTATAGAAATCGAAATTTACCTCATCCATGACAACTAATTTTCGATTCCCGTCTGACTGATTTATCCACGGTGGAGTTGAAAACAACAGTTCCCATCATTCCGCGTTCCTCCACGGCGTCATCAAGCAAAGCCGTTGTTGTTGTTTTGAATGTAGCGCCCTCTAGCGGCATCTAGATCTTAGGTATTGCACCTTTAATACAAATCCAGCTGTTCATTGTTTGTTCATGTTAGTTCACAGTGCATTAACTAATGTTAACAAGATTTTAATAAAGTATTAGTAAATGTTGAAATTAACATGAACAAAGATTAACAAATCCTGTAGAAGTATTGTTCATTCTTAGTTAATGTTAACTAATGTAGTTAACTAATGAACCTTATTGTAAAGTGTTACCATATACAGTATATTAGTGTATTACAGTGTGGGATAATTGGTGTGGGACTGTTTTAATGGGTGACATCCTTATCATCCCCTGATCACCAGTTTTATGGGCAAAAAGCTCTTTTGATTCGGAAATTTACAGTTGTTTAGCCTGACATGTGATCCAGAGCCAAAAGCAATATAAAAGTTTAAATTAACTCAATAAAAACTCAGGTTTTATTTCACAGGTAAGGCTACATGACAGGTGTACGAGCTAAAAATAGATTTTCAAATGGAATACTTGATGCAGTGTGTCCAGTGAAAAAGCTGAACATTTTAACATCAAACATTTGAACTAATAACACAAATAGATCACTTAGGGAAAGTCCTGTTAACAAGTTTCTGTTGCAGCCCAAAATAGATTATAGAAATCTTTTTATCCAGTGATACATCACTAAGGGTAATTTTATCTGTCCTAAATATTGTCAGGAAAACAAGTGCTTCCAGGAAGCACTGGTATACTCTCCATAGATGTTGACTGGAATCCCCCTTTACTTTTTTATTGAATGAACTCCCTGTCAGTTTTGGTTCCTTGTAAGCTTATTTTAATGTGTTCAACAGACTGTTTCAAGTGTATGAGTCGTATAATGATTCATTAAAAAAAAAAAATCTCAAATTTCCTTGTTCCTTCTTGGTTTCTTTCAGTTTCTGACTCTGTAGCCGTGAGAATGACAGAATATAAGTTGGTGGTGGTAGGTGCAGGTGGTGTGGGCAAGAGTGCTCTGACCATCCAGCTCATTCAGAACCACTTTGTTGATGAATACGACCCAACCATTGAGGTAAGCCTAAAGTCAAAATGGTAGTTTCTGTCAATGCCTTTGTCTCATATGTTATAGTTTATTATATGTTCAGTCATACAATTTAGATGGCACAGGCTTATTGGCAAGCAGTTAAACCAATACCACATGGCACAAGCTGTTTGGTCTCTGCTAAACCTGCAGCCAGTGAGATTGCTTGCCTAACATTTAGATCGTTTGGTTCAATGTTTGCTGTAAGCTGGCCCTGCAGCATGCTATCAGTGTTCCTCTGAAACCCTCTACCTCCCCCAGATCCACCTGTCTTGATCTGCTATTAGATTTATGTACAGTACATCTGTTCATGCAGAAGCATATCTTACATGCTCATGACTGCGTGTTTGTATATCTATTAGCAGTAGCAAATCCATACTTGCTAGATCTAGTCTGGCAAGATCAAATACATCAACAACATTGCCATAATCAATAACATGCCTATTTCTATTGTAAATAAGTGGCCAAATATGCAAGATTAAGTAAACATTTCAATTAAATGCAGTTTGGCCAATTTTAATGAGGATTTGATCATACTGTAAGGTCTAACAACAACAATCACCAAGCGTTGGCGCCCTCTGCAGGGATTTGTTATAATAAATAACGGATATAAGATGATTGTTTATATTATGTGTATAATAGATTTTGAAAGAGTTATTCTATATAACCATGATACTTTATTTGAATCAAATATTATTGCCTCTTACATTGGATATTTATGATCTGATCTTCCTCAAAGGACTCATACAGGAAACAGGTGGTGATTGATGGAGAGACGTGTCTTTTAGATATCCTGGATACTGCAGGTCAGGAAGAGTACAGTGCAATGAGAGACCAGTACATGAGGACCGGAGAGGGCTTTCTTTGTGTCTTTGCCATCAACAATACCAAGTCTTTTGAGGACATTCATCAATACAGGTTAAATGATAGGAAACACATAATAATACATCTTTACGTTTCTTATAATAAATATCTTTATAAATGTGGATTGTTTGCACTGTTTTTTAAAGGGAACAGATTAAGAGGGTTAAAGACTCAGATGATGTGCCTATGGTGCTTGTGGGTAATAAATGTGACCTACCAGCACGCACTGTGGACACAAGACAAGCCCAGGAACTCGCTCGTAGCTATGGTATACCGTACATTGAAACCTCAGCCAAGACAAGACAGGTTAGAAACATTTTAGTTGTATTCTGTTGTATAACAAATAATTTGATAATACATTTCAAAATTTCATTGCATGGTTGAATGTATGTAATTGAATATACTGTTTATGTGTGTTTCTGATTAGGGAGTGGAAGATGCCTTTTACACACTCGTCCGTGAAATCAGGCAGCATAAGTTGAGGAAACTGAACCCGCCAGATGACAACGGCCAAGACTGTATGAACTGCCGCTGTGTGGTGTCATGATCTGGTAAATTCCTTTATTCTGTTAGCTGGTGGCCCTATTAAGCTTTCTTACACCGTGTCCTAACTACACGTGACGCGATAAAATTCCAGCAACAGCAAGTGTGTCAGAACAGCGTGTGAGCTGAGAGTCTCTCTGTGAAAGCGCACTGCTGGCTTGCACTCACATTGGAAATGGGTAAGGACATAATCAAATCAAGAAATAATATTATTAAAACCCAAAACATTAACAAAATATACTCATTGACTAATTTTGTTATGAATGTTTGCATAGAATTAATTTTGAACGCTATATTATATGCTTTCAAAATCTGAAGTAAATTATCCGTTATCACTTGTGGCACAGTGAGCTATTTTTAACTAAAAATAAATAATGTGTACTCATAACTAGTGTAATTTCTTCATTCTGTCAGCCGCGACGTCGCAGAAATAGGAACCATATCTAAATTAGAAACTTCGGTTAGGACAAAAACTGATTAACATGGAAAAGATACCTTTTATTGCATGTCGCGTTGTCGCTTCGCGTGTAGTTAGGACACGGTCACTTTTCATGTTGTGTGTAATATAGCTGTTTGTGAATGAAAAATGTCTGGAAAGTTTCAAAGATCATGGTGCACAATAAATGGTTATGTCTCCTAAAAGAAAGAACCGATCCTGAAGTCTTACTTCCTCCAAAAACCTATGTAGTTTTGTAACAAATTTGCATCTTCAATGGCTGCCCGCGAACCACATCAACTTTGACCCATCCTCAAGCACTGTAATTGTTGCTGAGGCCTGGAAGGGTTTGGTTCTTGTTGTCGACATGTCGAGATGCTATTTTCTGCTCTGTGAAAGCAAATCCACTTCGCATGCACTCACAATGAATAAGTCCATGGGCTCGAATTGTTAGGGTAAAACCAACGCCCTTGATACTGTTTGCATGTATACAAGTGGAGGAGGTGAAATTCAGAAATGGTAATGGGCGTTTAGTTTCCAACACACGCTGTAAGCTGTAGACCAATCACAACAGACTGGGCCATCTGACCTGATTTAGGGATCATTTATCAAACCGTTTCAGACACTGTGAGAAAAGAGGTGTTAATTGCTTCAATGCATTACGAGAAAATTAAGGTTAGCTCTGTAACGGCAAAAACCACAGAAGCAGTAATGCAAGTGATGGTGAAATTTATTACTCAGTCCACGGTCAGATAAACACAAAGACAAGACTGGTGACGCAGGAACTAGATGGTCAGGGTCCAGGTGGTGAGTCCAGATGTGAAGTGAAGTGAAGTGAAGATCCAGTTGAGGTGATGAAATCCACGGCAGTGATAATCCACACGAACACGAACAGGAACAAGAACCAGATAAGGGTAGACACGCCGACAGGAAGGATCTTTACACATGCACACACGAAGGACATCAAACAACGATCTGACAATGAGAGGAGAAAACTGTGAGTATAAATAGGGGATTGAATGAGCTGCAGCTGGTGAGGGGATGATTATCAGCTGGAGTGCTGATCAGCTTGATCGCTGATCAGCAGAACGGAGTGGTAACGCCCACTCACACACACCCACACAGAGAACAACAGAAACACGAGACAAGAAGGAATCAATGAATTTATGAACCGTGACAGTACCCCTTCTCCTAAGAACGCCTCCTGGCGTTCCTAGACTCCCTTACCTGTCGATTGTAATCATCAATAAGGGAATGATCCAGGATGTCTCTAGCTGGTACCCAACTTCTCTCCTCCGGACCGTAACCTTCCCAGTCCACCAAGTACTGGAATCCGCGTCCCTCCGCCTCGAGTCCAGAATACGATTTACCGAATAAGATGGTTCCCCTTCTACGAGACGCGGCGGGGGAGGAACTGGGACTGGCGGATTAATACGAGAATAAAACACGGGCTTGATTTTGGATACATGGAAGGCGGGATGAATCCTCCTGTACACTGGAGGCAATTTGAGGCGGACTGTCACCGGACTAATGATCTTGGTGACAGCAAACGGGCCAATAAATTTGGGAGCAAGTTTATTAGAAACGGAGCGGAGAGGAATGTTTTTGGTAGAAAGCCACACTTTTTGACCAACGACGTATACGGGAGGCTTTGACCGGTGGCGATCGGCCTTGGCCTTGGTGCGCTCCCCCACCTGGAGTAGAGTCTCACGGGCTCTAGTCCAGGTGTGGTGACACCTCTGGACAAAGGCGTGGGCGGAGGGAACCGCTACTTCGGATTCCAGACTGGGAAAAATAGGTGGCTGGTATCCTAAGCTACACTCAAACGGAGACAGACCCGTAGCTGACACTGGTAACGTATTGTGGGCGTACTCCACCATGGACAGTTGCTGGCTCCAAGAGGAAGGGTTCTTGGAGACCAAACATCGTAACACCCTTTCCAGATCTTGGTTGGCTCTCTCGGTTTGACCATTGCTCTGGGGATGAAACCCTGAGGACAGACTAACAGTCGCTCCCAGTAACCTACAAAACTCTTGCCAAAATTTGGACACAAACTGGGGTCCTCTGTCGGAGACCACGTCTGTCGGGAGGCCATGAATACGAAAGACGTGATCTACGACTATCAACGCTGTCTCCTTAGCTGAGGGTAATTTGGGTAAGGGAATAAAGTGAGTCGCCTTCGAGAATCGGTCCACCACGGTTAAAACCACCGTGTTACCTTGAGAGGGTGGGAGGGCGGTGATAAAATCTAAAGCGATATGGGACCAGGGTCTCGAAGGCACCGGCAGCGGCTGAAGTAACCCATCTGGGGGTCGATTGGAAGTCTTACCAGTGGCACAAACCGAGCAAGCCAAAACAAAACTGTGGATGTCACGAGCCATACGTGGCCACCAGAATCGTTGCTTGACTAAAAAAATAGTACGGTTAACTCCCGGATGGCAAGCCACGTTGGAACAATGACCCCACTGGATAACGTCAGACCTTAAGTCCTCTGGCACAAATAGACGGTTCGGTGGGCATGCGGGCGGAGGCACTACCCCTTCTAAGGCTGTCTTGACCTTCGATTCGACCTCCCATACAAGTGTGGAGATGAATAGATTCTCCGGTAAAATGCACTCGGGAGTAGACGGGCGTTCGGATCGATCAAAAATGCGTGATAAAGAATCGGGTTTGATGTTTTTGGAACCCGGGCGGTACGAGAGAGTAAAGTCAAAACGTCCGAAAAAAAGTGCCCACCGAGCCTGCCTAGAGTTCAATCTTTTGGCAGTTCTGATATATTCCAAATTCTTATGGTCGGTCCAGACGATAAAGGGTACCCCTGACCCCTCCAACCAATGGCGCCATTCCTCCAACGCTAACTTGACTGCCAGCAACTCCCTGTTACCAATGTCATAATTGCGTTCGGCAGGGGATAAACGATGAGATAAAAACGCGCATGGATGAACTCTGTCGTCTGTGGGAGAATGCTGAGATATCACCGCTCCTACCCCCACCTCTGACGCGTCGACCTCCACCACGAACTGACGTGATGGATCAGGGGTAATCAGGATAGGGGCCGAAACAAAGCGGTCCTTCAGTTTGGCAAACGCTGCCTCAGCAGCGTCTGACCACCTGAACGCAGTTCTGGGGGAGGTCAAGGCGATCAGAGGCGAGGCTAGTTGACTGAAATTGCGAATAAAACGCCGGTAAAAATTGGCGAATCCCAGAAACCTCTGTAGGGCCTTACGGGAATCTGGGATTGGCCAATCTACCACAGCCTTAACCTTCTCGGGATCCATGCGAATTCCCTCAGACGACACAATGTATCCTAGAAATGGAACAGACTGTGCATGAAAAACGCATTTCTCCGCCTTGACAAAAAGCCCATTCTCTAGCAACCTCTGAAGCACTCGTCGGACGTGCTGCACGTGTTCCTGGAGAGAAGATGAAAATATCAATATATCATCCAGGTAGACATAAATGAACTGATCAACCATATCTCGCAGCACGTCATTGACAAGAGCCTGGAAGACTGCTGGGGAGTTGGACAGCCCGAAAGGCATGACCAAATATTCAAAGTGCCCCCTAGGGGTATTAAAAGCAGTCTTCCATTCATCCCCCTTTCTAATGCGGACCAAATGATAAGCATTACGTAGATCCAATTTCGTGAAGATAGACGCTCCCTGCAACCTCTCGAAAGCTGAAGACATCAACGGTAAAGGATAAGTATTCTTCACCGTGATGTTGTTCAACCCTCGGTAATCAATGCAAGGTCGCAGAGAGCCGTCCTTCTTCCCCACGAAAAAGAACCCGCCCCCGCTGGAGAAGAAGAATGACGGATGAACCCAGATGCTAGAGAATCAGAAATATATTTCTCCATAGCCTCCCTCTCTGGGACAGAAAGTGAATATAACTTGCCTTTAGGCGGAGACTTACCTGACAATAAATCTATAGCACAGTCATAGGGACGATGAGGAGGTAGAGAAGCAGCACGAGACTTACTGAACACTTCCTTCAGGTCCAAGTACTCCACGGGCACGTTAGATAAATCCACTGCCTCCTCCTGAAACACAGAGACAGAAACAGACGAACAGGCAGACACAAGACAAGACTCATGACATCTACCACTCCATTCTAACACTGATTTCTTTAGCCAGTCGATTTTGGGGTTGTGTTCAGTTAACCAGGGGTGTCCGAGAACAATGGGTGCAAGGGTGAGTCCATGATGTAAAAGGAACATGTCTCTGTGTGGTTTCCAGATGTGGTAAGTGTGATGGGTCCGGTGATGAGGGAGATGGTAGGAAGATCCTGACCGTTTAGTGCCTGAACTGCTATCCTACTGGTGAGTGGTAGAAGGGGAATGTTAAACCTCTGAGCAAAACCATGGTCCATGAAGTTACCTTCTGCCCCAGAATCCACCAGTGCCTGACAGTCGTGATTGTGGCCTGACCATCTTAGTCTTACCGGGAGGAGAGTCGATGTAGATGAGGTCTTCGCAGCGGAGATCCCACCCGACAGTAGCCTCAACCTTACTGTCGGGCTTGGCCTTTTACTGGACAGTTGTAGGCGAAGTGACCAGCGGCCCCGCAGTAAAGACATAGTCCTTGGGATCTCCGCCTCTCCTTCTCCTCCCGGGAAAGCCGAGCTCGCCCGACCTGCATGGGCTCGTGATCGTAGACGGGGCTGACCGCGTCCCCGCCGCTGGATCGTGGACTCTCAGCTCCTTCCCTGGCCCGATTCGTGGGCACTCTCCGTTCCACTCTGGATAACCGTGCGTCCACACGAAGGGCCAGATCTACGAGTCCATTGAGTGATGTTGGAAGATCCAGGGCGTAGATCTCCTTTTGAACACGGTCAGCCAGCCCATGCAGGAACATGTCCCACTGCGCCTCCTCGTTCCAGTGACACTCTGCCGCCAGGGTTCGAAACTCGATGGAGTAGTCTGATACTGATTTCTCCTCCTGTCGTAACTCTGCAAGCATCCGAGCCGCCTCTCTCCCGGCAACCGCCCTGTCAAAGACCCTCTTCATCTCGGCGGAGAGTGCCTGGAACGAGGCGCAGCATGGATCCTGGTTCTCCCACACCGCCGTTCCCCAGAGAGCCGCTTTCCCAGTCAGTAGTGTGAGCACAAATGCCACCTTCGATCCCTCCTGGATGAATGTGCGAGGCTGCAGGGCAAAGTGCATAGAGCAACGTGTTAAAAAAGCACGACAGAAACTTGGCTCACCATTGTAAGTCTGTGGGATGGGTAGGCGGGGTTCTGACTGGGAAGCTCCCTCAGGTGGAATGAGGGGAACGGCTGGTGCGGGGGGCGCAGTGGGAGCTCGTAGCTGTTGTATCTGCTGGGTGAGCTCGGACACCTGCGCCACCAGTACTGAAACAGCGCGTCCCGTCTCATTGATGTTCCTCTCCTGGGTCTCCATGCGTTGAATGCTGGAGTTAACGAACTCTTCCAAGGGATTTACCTCACTCGCTGCTTCCATTATGCGTCAGATCGTTCTGTAACGGCAAAAACCACAGAAGCAGTAATGCAAGTGATGGTGAAATTTATTACTCAGTCCACGGTCAGATAAACACAAAGACAAGACTGGTGACGCAGGAACTAGATGGTCAGGGTCCAGGTGGTGAGTCCAGATGTGAAGTGAAGTGAAGTGAAGATCCAGTTGAGGTGATGAAATCCACGGCAGTGATAATCCACACGAACACGAACAGGAACAAGAACCAGATAAGGGTAGACACGCCGACAGGAAGGATCTTTACACATGCACACACGAAGGACATCAAACAACGATCTGACAATGAGAGGAGAAAACTGTGAGTATAAATAGGGGATTGAATGAGCTGCAGCTGGTGAGGGGATGATTATCAGCTGGAGTGCTGATCAGCTTGATCGCTGATCAGCAGAACGGAGTGGTAACGCCCACTCACACACACCCACACAGAGAACAACAGAAACACGAGACAAGAAGGAATCAATGAATTTATGAACCGTGACAAGCTCTCCCAAAAATGATTTCATTAAAGTTAAAATACTTCACCTCAGAAAAGATGTGTATTTAAAATGGGTCACTTATGTAGAAGAAATGTGAAATTATTTTTGAATTTGGAGCTTTCTAGACTGAGAAAAGGCAGAAAATTTATTTAGCTTATGTAGATTAAAGACAACAATTCCCAGAATGCACTTGGTTTGCTGTCATAGGAGGCCACACCTACCGGCAACAGAGCGCAGCAGTTAAACAACAAGTCTAGGTTACTATTGAGTCTCCCTTGTTGAGTCTGCTCGAAAATGTGTTTCGAGATCGCCCAAAATGTCAGAGATTCGGCTTTTGAGTTCTACAGTCGGCATTCATTATGTTTACTGTGGCAAGCAGGATGAGGCTAGGGCCACGGGAGAACGGCGCAAGGCCGGTAGCGTGATTACCGATGAGCGACACCTGTGAGTCTCGTATCTCTCACGGAGGAGCGGGAGTTTTCTTAGCAATGTTAAAACGCACATGATAAGTTATTTAGCATGTAAACACTACATTCAGATTCACCAATCGATTAAAACAAAAGGTGTGTGTGTAAACAATGAATGGGGGGAGGGGATACACCTCTCTACAGTAATTTGAAAGTGATTGCAGTACCAGTTTTGGCCACAATCTTACATACGGCTCCTTTAATGCTAAATCCTGAAGTATCCCTTTAATAGTTACTCACCATCATGTCGTTTCAAACCCGTAAGACTTTCGTTCATCTTTAGAGCAAAAATGAAGATATTTTGAATAAAATCTGAGCGATTTTTGTGAGAGCTACGCGACTACCAATTTGAAGCTTTAAAAAGTTCATAAGAAGATAGATCAGACACATCATTTGTGGTAAACAGAAGCTAAAGCATGTTGGCTTAACGTGTGATAATCAATGAGGTTCATTCCCGTGTGTTACACATGTTCAGTTGAGCTTCTGTTCATAATCACTGATCATTGTTTATTTGTGAATAAAAGCTTAAATTCAACCTGTTCATCATAATCAATCGATTCCGCTCAATTCATATGGATTATTTTTACAATCTCTTTATGAACTTTTTGAAAGTGGTAATTGCAAAACTGTCTCTCAGATTTCATTAAAAACGATCTTAATTTGTGTTCCGAAGATCTTAAAGTCTAACGGGTTTGGAACGATATGAGGGTGAGTAAATTTTGGGTGAACTAATGTTTTTTTTTTATTTTTTTTTTATTTATTTTTTTTACCTGTGTGTAAACCAATTGTAGCAGACCTCCAAAACAAAATTAGGAACCATTACAATATAATAAATGAGGCACTTTAATATATGATCCATCCAACCATGGTTATATGACATAAATCTCTCAATAATATACATATACAAGTATTCATGAATAATTAAACAGTTGTGTAGTGCTCCTCATGTGTACTCAGTTCTGTCCTTCTCTTTGCAGTGAAAGTGCATGGCGTGGCTTTGGAAGCAGTGCAGCCCTACAGACCACAGACACTGCAACATCTACACAGATGCTGGACGTTTAGAGCAGACTGATGTAAAAGGGAAATCTTTATTCTTGCAGCCCTGCAGTCTTCTTAGGGATGTTCCCATCGCTCTCCTTTACTGGAGAGGAAAGAAGTTGTACCTCATTGTAATGGTCTCAACTCTGGAGTTGCTATACGACTGGATGAGCGCTGTCACACTTAAATATATTTACATTAAACAAACTATTTACTCTTAACTGGAAGTAATAGCTCAGAAAATAACCTCTCATATTGCTTTTTCATCTGTGTATGTTAGAAAAACACTTTACAAGACGGAGAGGAGAATTACTACATCAGTTAGATTAGCATATGTCTGAATGTGAGCAAGATTTGTATTGATTTGCTTAGAAGTCTAACCTAATAAAATGTACTTAATTATTTACGTTCTCTTGCAAAGAGAATAGTCATATGCAGTGTGTGTATCACAAGTTATAGTGCAATAGATTGCGATTAGAAGGTACATATCCGATAGGACATGCTATGGAATCGCATTTATTCTTTGTTAGCCTTTTTGAATTTGAATGGCCCTCAGGGTTTTTGAATTGTGGCTTGATTAAATATCCATATGTGATGCTTTTCATTTACATTATTAGACAAATGCATCACAAATAATTGCATTGGCTAAATAAGACATATAAATTAAGGTCTCTTCAAAAAATATATATATATATATTCTTGTTGGAGAATGAATGCAAACCTACTATAAACTTCAAAGTTTGGACTGAAAAGCTTTTGTTGATATTGTCAGCACTGTGCAGTTCCCATGTTCAGGGCATACACTTGAAACTTTGAAGTCAAACAAAAAGGAAGTACATTTTTATATGTTTGTGTTAATAAGGAGTGATATACCGTACTTCAATCAGACATCAGATTGCTTGTATTATACGCTTGTTGTCAATCATCATGTAAATTCATCATTATAAATCAACTTTCCGTTAGATTTCAAATCTAAACAAAGGTCTTTCGATTTAATTTATGTGAACACTTAACAGTGTCTTTGACTGAGTGTCTTCTCTTTCTGGCTGAAATTTGATGATTTTGCTCGATAAAGATTGCAGAATGTTTTGTTCCCTTGAAGTCTATTGATTGTTCTCAAGGACATACATGGGCGAATATGATTCTCCGTTTAAATCACATGTCAGTAGCTATGGATATGACCTTCAAGGGTTTCTATCAGAACGTTTTGATGGATTTAGCTACTCTGCCACAGAGTAAATGTGGGTTTATCACGTGGTGTGATGGCTGCCACGACTTACTATTGTTGTACATTAATATTGTTAATGTCCATTTTCCATGACACTTTTAACAGTAGGTAAAATACACCAATATATGACCTCGAATTATATAGGACCTCTATGTTATTCTGTTTTACATCACAAGCAAAATGCTGCTATTAAATCTTTTTCATGGAGGTTTTTTTTTTTTTTTTTTTTTTTTTTTTACAACAACAATATCAGAACACAGCGTTATAGTAGCGTACATACAGAAGAAATTGTAAAAGGCTGTGTTGGCTCTGGTATTTAAATATTTACCTTTTTTATTTACCTTTTTTGAAGTAATTAAAACGTTTTTTTAAGAAGTTGTTCTTATTTTGTGTCCATTGTGTTCAGGCAACACTGAATTTCATTTTAACAATCTCTGTCATTATAGATTTGTGCCTACCATTATGATTGTTGTGTAAAGAAAGTGTCAAATAAAAGAGCTTGCTTTGATTTCCTGAACATCTGTTTTACATTTAAATATTTAAACACCTTTAAAAGTCGAATTTCACCCAGTCACTACATTCTGAATATGTTTTTTATTAAAGTTTTAAAATTAGCAATACTGTAGTAATGTAGAACCTACACTTCAACCAATGAAGTGCAGCCTTTGAGTTTTGCGTCATCAGTCATCTGACCGGAAATGAAGTCATGCAAGTTGGTTCAGCCTCAGCCGAGCCGAGATTTCCTTGTTTGTTATGGATGCAATGATATGGTTTTTATGAGTTTACGTCCATAACAAAACTATATGATTTAACTGGTAGACGTTATACAATCTTTTTAAAGTAATATATTAGTTCATAATCACTGTAAACATGACGACAGTGAACGAAAACTCTCTACGGAAAATCCTGGCGAAGGTAACTTATGTTAAACACTTGCGTACCAGAGAAGATGTTTACAAAGTGTTTTACGTGTTCTTGGTAATGTGTTTTTTGTGTGTGTACTCAGATTTATAAATACAGAGATCTGACCTCACGCGACTTAACTGTGACGTCTCACTATAAAGATCTTAAACCTGTGTTGGACAACTACGGTAAGTCTCACTGTGGCTCTAATCTTCAAACGTACTTATAAATGTTTAAATGTCATTTTTAAATGTTAAAGCACTTAACATTTATTTTAATAATGATAGCATGAACATAAAAAAGTTCGAAAGGTTTTAAATTTGGCTATATTATGAAGTAATTTATACTTTTGTTTTCATTTTTACTTAAGTGTATACCAATTGATATCAGCTCAATTTGTACTATAAATATATTTTCCTGGCCGGCACTCATTTAGCTTTTTTATTTTTTATTTTTTTATTTTAGTGTTCAATGATGGCTCTACCAAAGAGCTGCTGAGTCTCACTGGAACAGTGCCTGTAAACTACCGAGGTATAGATACACTGCTTTCAAAGAAGTTTGTCCACTCTTCATCCAACTCCAAAAGATGAATAAGGTTCTTATGTTGAACCCCTTTCCCTATTAAATATGTTCCTCTTCTATAGGAAATGTGTACAACATTCCCATCTGCCTGTGGCTTCTTGACTCGTATCCCTACAACCCTCCCATCTGTTTTGTCAAACCCACAAGTGCCATGATGATAAAACCCGGGAAACACGTTGATGCCAATGGAAAGATTTACCTCCCATACCTGCATGAATGGAAACCTGTAAGGGTTTTTATTTTATTATTATTATTTTTTAATCTTTGTGTTTAATTCAGGGGGGTGTAAACGCATGCATCTTTCATTTGCTTTTGTCTCCTCTTCTTTAGCCCCAGTCTAATTTGTTCGGACTGATCCAGGTGATGATTGTAGTGTTTGGAGATGAACCACCAGTCTTTTCACGGCCCAGCACACAGGCAGCTTTCCCAGCAGCAGGCCCACCTAACAGTAAGCATATACTTGCATCTGATTGTTTCGGTTCAATAAATTGGATCTGATAGATTCTAAGATTTAGGTTAGTATTTGACTTCGGGCATCAGCAATAATTATATCATTTCATTTTTCTTTCCAGCTTCCTACATGCCTAGCACACCAGGCTTGCCTTATAGTCAAGGACACTCTGCCAATCCAGGGTAAGTGCTTTCAGTGTGCAAGTCACAAATCTTGATCATATGGTCATTCAGTTAACTATACACAAAAGTTTAAAGTTGTTGGGTTTTTTTTTTTGTGGAAAAATATAATACGTTTGAGCAAGGATGCATTAAATTGATCAAAAGTGACAATAAAAACATTTATAATGCAACAAAAGATACATTTTGAATGTTGTATTCATCAAAGAACTAAAAAAATAAGTATAGAAAACAGCTATTTTAAATTGTAATAATATTATTATATATTATTATTTTTATTTATTTGTTTTTAAATCGTACTGACCCCAAATGGTAGTTTATTTCTTAGGCATCTACCACAGAGTGTGTAAAGTGTCTTGGGCATCTACCAGACAGTGTGTAAAGTGAGGGTCAACAGTGTAATTACTGCTGGAACTACATGCATGTATTTTTAAAAACAAGTACAATGTAAGAACATGTATCTATACAATAAGTGCATTGTATTATTAAATAATTTATTTATATGGTAATACATGGTAGTTAAGACGCCTAATATAAAGTGGGACAATCAAGAATGCATTTTGTGGCAAAAAAAACCCCCCAAAAAAACATTTATTTTTATACCACCATTAAAATATTAAAGCATAACACTGCCGTAAAGTGGATTTCGAGGGCCAGAGTTGAGAAACTCTGCTGTAAATCAAAATACAAACTTGGTGAAAACACCTTAAATTTGGCAGACTCCAATATAATACATGGTATGAGTGAACACATCTCCAGTATTTCCTGAAGAGAATAGGAGGAAAAGAACGAATTTCAGACGAATACTTGGCTTTAATTCATAATACATTTTCTGAACAATTGTACTCTATAGGATTCCAACTTTATTTTGTAATGAAGGCTTAACCAGAATATAATCATGCTAGATCTCTTTGAAATTGATGCTCGTGCAAGTGTAAGGAATACACAAGAGTTCCTATAACGAATCACGAATAGAATCATATTTTCCTTTTTTGAAGAATTTTTTGCATTCACTGGATTAAAAAAAGTTAACAGTATAACTACAAATATGAATATGTTAATCAAATGCTTTAAATGTAATTACAATGCACCATCATGTATGAACATTATAAGTATATTGTATCAAATGTTTAAGTAACGCCACCTGAAATAAAGCATGACCATGTTTTATTTTCTTTCTGTCAGGGGATTTCAGGGCTACCCTTATCCTGCAGCAACTTCTGGATACCCCTCTTCCGGGTCCTCTCTCTATACCCCGGTGTCGCCTGTTAATACATTGGGTGAGCAATATTAGTGATATTTCAGAAACCAAGAATAAAAAGAATCTAATGCTTTTCTTCCTAATCTTATATCCATCTCAAAAACAAGTACACTACCACTGGGCTTAGTAAGGTTAGTTAGATAGATTCAATTGATCAAAAGGGACAGTAAAGTAATTTATAATATTATCCTATTAGATTTATTCGTATAATCTGGTCAACACACTCAATGCACTCTCCCATCTAATTTGGTGTTGAGAACTATCATCAATCCAAAAATGCAAAAAAGGCAAAAAACAAAAAAAAAGCTACTAAAAACACTACTTTTAAGAACATTAATAAATCTTACCAACCAAAAACTTTTCAACAAAAGTTAATAAGTGAACAAACGTATTTCAAAAAACTGTACTTTCAAACCCCTGCAAATATTGTTGCTGTGTTTCAGGGCCCACTCGTGATGGTACCATCGGAGAGGACACAATCCGTGCATCTTTGGTGTCTGCGGTCAGTGACAAATTGCGTTGGCGGATGAAAGAAGAGATGGATCGTGCACAGGCAGAGCTGGATGCCCTGAAAAGGACAGAAGAGGACCTGAAGAGAGGCCACCAGAAGCTGGAGGAGATGGTGACCAAACTAGACCTGGAGATGGTACAAGAGAAACATTCGTAATTGTATAGCTACAGTTGAAATGATAAAATCAGTCTGGTGATACCTCAGATAATAGTGACTAAAGCTTATAATGCTACTTATTTATACAATCTTATAAGTCACTTTTTAGCAAGGTATCTGCCAGAAAGCGTTGTACTTTTAAATATTTTATAAAATGTAAAAATGAAACATGTTCCATTGAATCACAGGCTGATGTGGACAAAAACATTGATAGCCTCAAGCAGAAAGATGAGGAGCTGACTGTTGCCCTGGAGAGAATGCAGAACCAATCTGAGGACAATGACCTCGATGATGTGATTGTGCCGACCGCTCCTCTTTATAAGCAGATTCTGAACCTCTACGCTGAAGAAAACGCCATAGAAGACACTATCTTCTACTTGGGTGAAGCGTTACGCAGAGATGTCATTGACTTGGATGTCTTCCTTAAGGTTAGTCAACAGCCCTTTTTGTCATTGTCTTTTGCCTAAGCTAAAACACAATATTTTAAATGTATATTAATGTGAACATCCTGTTCTGTGCAGCATGTGCGCCTTCTCTCCAGAAAACAGTTCCAGTTGCGAGCCTTGATGCAGAAGGCCAGGAAAGTAGCAGGCCTCAGTGACCTGTACTGACCTGCCCAAATAAATCATTCTCCCTCTCAGTTATACCACGTGGTATACTAAATCACAGGCTTTGTGATGTGAAAGGTGATTGTAATTTACCCAGGACCAAAACCCCAAATCTCTGTGAATCCGAGAGATTAAAGTTTACATTCATAGCTTAGCATAGGTTCTTAACTTTGTCGAGAGGGAAACAAAGAAAGGAAATCAAACAGTTGCAAGAGTTATTTTTTCTCAGCTAAAGAGTTTAGCATAGCCTTACAAAAACACCAATCGTTGCACTTTTTGTAACTTGTGCCTCATATTCTTCTGAAGTGTCTTTTCAGATACAGGGTAAAGGTAAAGAAGTATGGGAATGACATTCAATATGCTCAACCTGAATGTTAGTCTTATTTTTATACTGTTTAATCTCCAAATAGTACCTGTAACTGAATAATTCTCTTAAAATCAGCACTTTGTTTTATTTTTAGATAAGTTAGTAAACCAATCTGCATTAACATCTCAGAATTTAATTGTATCATTTTT